CATCTAATCCCTCTAGAACAGGGCTATTCAACTGGCGGCCCACGGGCCACATCTGGCCCATGAGTGACCAAAGTTCGGCCCGCCAATTGGTTCATTCATCATAAGCCCAAACCCAAGGTTTTCTAATTTAATTACTCTAAATTATTTTAGTTAAACATAGACATGTTTGGTGTCTACAGAAACATCAGAGTCTTGGCTACAAGCTGGTAAAAAACATTTCTATAAACACTCAAGACAGTTAAAACCACAAGCAGTTGAAGATAAAATGATGAAAGTGAAAATAAAATTGGTTTAAAAATTTGGCAAATCTGAGATGTCAAAATATTATTTGTGTCTAATTTTAGGAAGGGATAATGTGTTCTTTTTGTTTTTGATAATGTGTAATTATCACTACTTTTAAAGGGTTCTGTATGTTGTATTCATGATTAAATGCAGCAAAATAACTTCATTCAAAGGTAACAGATCTTTGTAATACTTGGTTTATTTACATAATAACTTTAATTGCTGGATGTTGGCGCCTCAGCTGTTGACCTGCAGTAACTGTGGCCCCCGGAGCAGTTTAGTTGAATAGCCCTGGTCTAGAACAACAATTTATATAGATACACATTACACTGTTTCATATTTCTTTAACAATCCAACTTTTATCATTTTCTTAAACGTACACAGTGATCCTGCATTTTTCACATCACTCCCCAAATGATTCCATAGTTTTATTCCTTGAGTTAAAGTACACCGTTCCTTCAAACTAGTTCTGAATTTGGGTTTTACAAATATCTCTGTCCCTTTAAGGTTATAACGACTTTCTCTTAACAAAATTTACTTGGATTTTTAAAGGTAATGTGTTTTTGTGAGCCCTATACATAAACAGTAGACTATTATAATCAACCAAATACCTTTCAGCTACATCTGTCAAGGACAGCTCTGCTGGTTAATGTCTCTACCATCGTATGTTTGATCTTTTTTCACTTTTAAACTTCCTATTTTATTTTGCACACTAACTTCCCGTCTCATTTCAGACTTCACTTCCTGAGATTCCCTCTGATCCCACTGCCACACCCTAATCTCATACACCTGTTTCATGTCTTTGTTCTTTTTTACCTCACCCCATGCAGCTTCCCTTCGCCAGTTTGTCTTCATCCTTAGTGTTAAGCGTTCCAGCCTTTATTCTACTTTGTCTTCCGGTTAACTTGACCCAGCTTGTATTTTGAACTCGCCTCTGGCTCTGTTTTGGATACCTTAGCCATAGACTCAAATATAAATATGACTAGACTGAGCCCCGCCCATCCCGTCCACTGGTAGTGTCTGTGACATCATGGAGGAGCAGAAACAGACCAAACAGGACAACAGCTCACAGCAAACATAGAAACTAATAGATAAACAGCAGCTGAACTGGATCTGTTTCACACATTATCTGTCATGTTTTTACAATAAATTAATAATTATGTTAATTTCATTCAACAATCATGTAAAACAGCAGATTTATACCAGAAAAATATATAATTTATAAGTAACAATGATCTAAACCAGACCTGAAGTCAGCCTGTAACTTTTGTTGCTGAGTGAGACTGACTTTAAAGACTGACCTGTTCTGTCATCTTCATGAAAAGCAACAAGACATCACCGTCACTCTATTCAAGGGTTAAGCCTGTTGTTCTCATCGTTGGATCACAGTTTTTGCTTTAGTACATTTCAGATCAGAATAGAAATTCTTAAAACTACTTGTTAAATCTTCACATCATTGTGTCATTTGTGCACATCAAAACAGCAGTTTGTCATTTCTGTGAGCAAGTTCGTAATGCTTTAGTACATCCATGCAAATGATTCTGTACAATTCTCTACATTTTCAGTTGCTTTTGTCTTGTAGATCAAATATTTATTATGCCTGAATCGATTGAATAACCTTCCTCGCCACAACATTTAGGCTATAGTTTATCATTTTGCAAAATGGTTGAACAAGTTCTCACAAGAAGTCAAATTTTTATACAGTAAATCTCCATTGGACTTCTTTTTCTAAATCTGTCCTGAATTAGTACATTGGTGAATGTTTACTTTCACACACACGATAGAACATCTTGTCACCTTTTTAGACCCTCTCTGCAGAGATCTGATCTCTGAACAAGAAAGGGGTCAGACTGGAGATAACTTGCCAAAGTACATGATTGTTTGGGTCAGGTTCCTTCTCTTCATCATCATCAACCAATGGTTTGTGACACAAAACAAGATGCTGATGGAGGTCCTCCCACCCTACTCCCCATTCCTTAACCACATTGAGGAACTTTTCTCAGCATAGAGATGAAAATTATATGATCTCCAGCCACACATAGATGACCGTTCTGATTGCCATGGATGAAGCATGTGATGATATCACAGCAGATGCCTGCAGAGGCTGGAAAAGACACTGAAAAAATTTCCAAACTGGAATCACAAGAGAAGATATTTGGTGTGATATGGAGGAGAAATTGGGGCCTAACAGACAGGAACACCAGGAGGTGTAGGAAGAATACTCTGTAATTCCTACAGCACGGTATGCCCAGTTTCTGTTAAAGAGATTGTCCAACAGCATAATCATATCTCTACTTTTGTTTTTCTTTGTGTTCTGCAGTTCTGTGTTTTCCACAATGTCTGTCAAGAAAATCTAGTACAAATAGTAAAGGCGTACAGCGGGTAAAATAAGTATTGAACACGTCACCATTTTTCTCAGTAAATATATTACTAGAGGTGCTAATGACATGAAATTTTCACCAGATGTTGGTAACAACCCAAGTGATCCATACATACAAAGAAATCAAACCATAAATGGCCAGAAATGAAGTTATTTGTAATAATGTGGAATGGCACAGGGAAAAAGTATTGAACGCATGAAGAAAGGGAGGTGTAAAAAGGCATGGAAAGCCAAGACACCAGCTGAACTCTCTCAGTAATTAGAAAACAAGCCTGCCCCTTGTCAGTGCAAGTTAATATCAGCTGGTTCAGTCCCAAATGATGGCCAGGTATCACACAAGAACCATCTGATGATGGGTAAAAGTAAAGAGCTCTCTCAAGACCTTCACAACCTTATTGTTGCAAAGCATAATGATGGCATCGGTTACAGAAGAATGTCTAAACTTCTGAAGGTTCCAGTGAGCACTGTTGGGGCCATAATTCAGAAGTGGAAAGAACATTATTTCACCATAAACCGACCACGACCAGGTGCTCCTCACAAGATTTCTGACAGAGGAGTGAAAAGAATTATCAGAAGAGTTGTCCAAGAGCCAAGGACCACTTGTGGAGAGCTTCAGAAAGACCTGGAATTAGCAGGTACGATTGTTTCAAAGAAAACAATAAGTAATGCACTGAACCACCATGGCCTGTATGCACGCTCACCACGCAAGACTCCACTGCTGAAGAAACAGCATGTTGAAGCTCCTTTAAAGTTTGCTGCACAACATTTAATCAAGCCTGTGTAATACTGGGAGAATATAGTCTGGTCAGATGAGACCAACATTGAACTGTTTGGATGCCAGAATACACATCATGTTTGGAGGTCAAATGGCACTGCACATCAGCCCAAAAACACCATACCAACAGTGAMGTTTGGAGGTGGGAACATCATGGTGTGGGGCTGTTTTTCAGCATATGGTACTGGCAAACTTCAAATAATTGAAGGAAGGATGAGTGGAAAAATGTACAGAGACATTCTTGATAAAAATCTGCTTCCATCTACCAGGATGATGAAGATGAAATGTGGCTGGACATTTCAGCAAGACAATGAGCCCAAACACAAAGCCAAGGAAACTCTCAGTTGGTTTCAGAGAAAGAAACTAAAGCTGCTGGAATGGCCCAGCCAATCACCTGACCTGAATCCAACAGAAAATCTATGGAAAGAACTAAAGATCAGAGTTCATAGAAGAGGTCCACGAAACCTTCAAGATTTGAAGACTGTTTGTGGAAGAATGGGCCAAAATCACACCTGAGCAATGCATGCCACTAGTTTCTCCATACAGGAGGCGTCTTGAAGCTGTCATTGACAACAAAGGCTTTTGTACAAAGTATTAGATAAATTTCAGTAAGTGTGTTCAATACTTTTTCCCTGTGCCATTCCACATTATTACAAATAACTTCATTTCTGGACATTTATGGTTTGATTTCTTTGTATGTATGGATCACTTGGGTTGTTACCAACATCTGGTGAAAATTTCATGTCATTAGCACCTCTAGTAATATATTTACTGAGAAAAATGGTGACGTGTTCAATAATTATTTTACCCGCTGTAAATGTAAATCTTGTCAAGTCTCTTGCAACCAATCTCTCACAGTTGCAATACACAATTTGTTATTAAAAATGTGGCCATAGTTTACATCAGAACATCTGTTATTTTGACAACATGACAAAACAATTTTACTGTCTTATCCATACACAATGACACAAAGACTTGACCTTTTGATGGCAGTGACACGTTCACTCACACAGAAATTTAGTTTGGAGAGATGAAATTTTGTACAAGAAACTGGGTTTTGGAGGTAATCTATGGTGTTTTTCCATCAAAATCTGTTTTGTGACATTCACTGTTACTTCTAAGTGCTTTCTGTAAAAGCTGCTGAATAACTGATAGGATGTATGCATTCATTTTTTTGTTTGGTAACTCATTTTAAAT